TTCTTAACAATCACTTGCCACTACATCACTCCAAATTTTTTGCTTCGAAGCAGAGTCCTTACAACAGCGATGTTCCCCCCTGAAGAAGCGAAAACCGGTGACAACATACGGAGAGAATTACAGCGGCAGCTCGTTTCTGTACTTGGATTTGATGCCTGTGTTATGAACAAAGTCGTCTGGGTCACTGATCAGGGATCAAACATAATTGCTGCACTCGCACCGTATCATCGGCTGGATTGTCAGGACCATGTTTATAACACAGTACTCAGACGTGCACTTGATTGTGACGAACTACGAGACTGCGCACCAGAGATTACACAGACTTTATTGGCAGCCAAAGCACTCGTGAGATACGTCAAGCAAACAGGTATAATAAACCAGTTAACAAAAACTGTCAGACAAATTTCGGACACCAGGTTCAGCTCTGTGTTCCTTACCTCGGATTCAATTAAAGCGGTATATGCTGAGCTTCGTGAAAAACTTGACAACCGCGGAGAAAGCAGAAGAATCGACGAAGTATCTCCAGATGTCTTGGAGTTCCTGCTAGATTTTCTTTGCCCATTCTACCAGGCTCAGAGGGAACTAGAGGGCCACCAGTACCCCACACTTAACCTGGTTGTTTTGTGGCATGAGCGGCTTAAGCGCCACTGCAGGCCTGTGGCTTCAGACAGTCCACACCAGGCCATAATTCGTGAGCGACATCTCGAATGGCTGAATCGCAAAATCAAAATCGAGACGCTGCATAAACTTGCCATATTTCTCTGGCCAAAATTCTGTCAATTTCGCATGCTGTCTCAACCTGACAGAGAGGATATCCACCAAGAAGCCAGGCGTCGGATAGCTAGCTTTACCAATGGTGGCGAGCCAGCTGTTGAATCAGCAAGTAAAAGAAGCAAGACTGTAGTGGCAGAGTTTGAGGAGTGGGTAAACGTGCCCCTGAATGAAATGGTTGATGAAGTTCAGCAATACATCAGCCACAACCACGACATGAAAGAGGAGCGGGATCTCTTGGGTTGGCAGCGAGACAGCGGCGTTTTCCCGTTACTGTCAAGAATGGCCCGTAGTATACTCAGCATCCCTGCAAGTAGTAGCAGCAGCGAGAGAAACTTCAGTGCTGCTGGACTAACTCTTAATCAGAGGAGGAACGGCGCTGAAACCATCAACTGTCGATGCCGTTCTCTTCCTTCACAACGCATACTGAAAAGGATCAATTTGTGTAAATAGTTCTGCAACACTTTCCGCAAACTCTTTTTTTTTTTTGAAGTTAGAAGTTCGAGATTCAAATTTAATTTGTGACTGTCGCACCTGTGCTCACCCAGCAGCGTTTCATAATTGGTAAGTATGTGGTTTTTCTCTTTTGCTCTTGTGCCGCTGTGCCTTGATGAAACTGTTGCTTTACACGTATTTGTTTACTGGTGGTTGCATGTAATCTTGAAATACAGCGTCTTGCAAAATGTTATATGTTGTGAGAGACCTATTTCGGGTTCGGGTCAGGTTTCGGGCTGTAAATTTAACGGGTCGGGTCGGGCTGCATCAAACGATCTCGGGTACGGGCCGGGCTCGGGCTTCAGTTTAAAGCCCGTGCAGACCTCTAAATAGTCAGTGTTTGTGTGTTCTTGTTTCATATTTTGCAAAAGTTTCAGTAAATTAATTAGTGTTTTTCAACATATAAACTTCTTGTCTGTCATTTTTTCCACACATTTTAGTAACAATTAACATTTTATTTAAAATTTAACTTAATTTAA